TTTTAATCATGTAAAGCACTTTGCATTGTCTTTGTACTGAATTGTGCTATACAAATAAATGTGCCTTGCCTTGCCTTACCCATGTGTCTGGCTGCTGCTGACAAGTCACTAACAGATGCAGGCGAACTATAGATGTACATCTGAAGCTGTCAGAAATGTTTTGCCTTAAGAGGAATTTTTGGGGTAAATTGGATGATTATAAGTATAACCGTATAACTATATATGCGATCAGAAGTATTCCTCACCACTGGCTGAGTTCTTGTGTTCAAATAATGGTACGTTCAGACTGCAAGCAGCAGAGGCAGCAGAAGCAGCTAGTTTACATCAAGGCGCAGCAAAAGGTCCTGCGTCTGAGCAGCTGAAACAGCTCCTCACGAACTTCTGAGCATCTGAGGCGCCTTCAGAAGCAGCAGCTGCTGGAGTTGGACAAATTTTATTTTACTGCTCAACGAGCCAATCGGAGAAGCTGATCTGGGAGCTGGCAGGGAGTCAGACGCAGCACTGCTGATGCAGAGCGCTGTGATCACTCCTCTGAAACAGTTTATTAACGCCTAAATTAATTTAAAATGTAGAAACCTGCCGGCAAAATATGTTCGATTTTATTATCCTGGAGCCTGTAGTTTGGATTATGTGCGTGAAAAACGCTAACATCGACATCCAGCCGCCACAAACGGTAGCGGGAAACCCCAAAGAAGCAACCTGGCCAGAGGCAGCTGTTGCAGGGAATTCCCAGTGACAGCGCACCGCCGGTATGTGGGGGTCTGAGCGGCTCCGCCAGAAACAATATATGAAAGCAGGATGGTAATCTGGATGAACTGACTGCACAGTTTTCCGCTGGACTTTCTCAATTAAAAACATATTAAAACTACATTTTACCCGCTGATCACAGCTAATATAGCTGCCATTGTTCCAGGCAAAGAAAGGATAGGGTAGCTCCGCCCAACGTGCATCCGAACCACTTTACCACCGCGCAGCTAGAGCAGCAAAGATGCTTCAGCCATCAGAACTGAACTGTGCGTGCGGTCTGAACTTGGGGCCATACTCTCGAGTGCCTTCTAGTTGCCATATTTGATTTGTCTACTCTTGGCTGCTTCTGACATCATCAAGCTTTTGGGTGTTCTATGCCATATTTTTTTTTACAAACACCATTGAAGACTGCCCATTCTTCCACTCCATGTCACAATAATGCGCATAGTTACCAAAACATGGTAGTAGTTACTTTACATGAATAGGCACTCTGATGGAATTCTGTAGGTACCTTTAAAAGTACCAAATTATACCTGCTTTATGACGAAATGTCTTGAATTATACCACCTTTGCTGCTTTGTCAGTATATGTGGAAACCAAAGACACAGAATTTGTGAGTTGTTTCAGAAGTCACTGACACATTCAGTCAAAATAGATACAATGCAAGACAAAGGAAATATAACTGATGTCTTCTCTGTCCTCTTTATGCAGCCCTTAAGAGGTCCTTTGAGGTGGAGGATGTTGACACTTCCTCCCATTCTTCGCCCGGCTCTCGCCGAGCCACCAACTCCCCTCTCCGCAACGCCATGTCTCCCACCAGTATCTACTACCGTGACCTTGGCAGCACAGCCCCCTCTACCAACAACAACAACCTCAACTATTCCCAACCACGCTCCATCATGGGTGGCGGGGGTTCAAGGACCCCTGAGCCGGTGTCACGCCGTTCTGAACTCTCTATTGACATCTCCTCCTCTAGCAAGCAGGTGGATAACGTCACCAGCCCTGCCTCTACGCGATTCGTGAGCAACAGTGTACTGAAACGCCCTGAGGTCTTAGGGCACTCCAGGACCCCTGACATGAGCCACAAGAGGGAGGTCACATTTGCCAAGACCCTCACTGACTCCCCAGGGACCCGCCGCAATGAGGGCAACAACAACAACGGGATCATCCGAGCTCCTGAGCAGAATCACTCTCGCAAGTTCGAATCGGCGAGTCTGTCAGACCCCCGTAAACCCGAAATCAACATCACCAAAGCTCCCCCAGAGAACAACGGGCACCACCCAGCCGTGCACCACCCTCACCACCCCAACCCTCATCACAACACTATTGTTACCACCTTTCGCTGCTCCTCCCCCAGCCATGCTGGACGCAAGTCTCCTAATCCTGACAGTAAGTCTTCATATCTCTCTCAGTGCAACACATAATTGCTTTTGTCATCTTTTTCTTACCGTCCAATTCCAACTTACAGACACAAATGTAAACATTGATTTAACTAAGGTAGGGGTCTTCAACGTTTTACACGCGAAGGACCCCCAAACTGATGGCGATGGAGCAGGGACCCCCTAATTATATATAGCATGAAATAGTGTTCTATCAAACTGGTCCTATAGTCACTCTATTACAGATGGAGTAATGTAACTAAAGTAAT